TGCCGGTTGCTATTCATTAAAGTTATGGTTGAGGTTCTTGATATGGAACCTCCTCTTAGACTGGATCTCCTTCAAGAGGAAAATCTTTTGTTATTTCCTCATTTGATCCCTGAGTTGAGAAAATTATCTTTCCCTCAGACTCCACCTGCTTTGAAGCACCATCAATTTGTTTGACTTCTTCAACTGTTACCTTATCTTTCAAGATAGATTCATCAAAGGTAACAACCCTGCTGAAAATGACTTTTCTTGTCACTGGACACCATAAACGGTATCCTTTGATTCCAAAAGTAATTCCCATAAATAAAGCTTTCTTTGCTCTTGGTTCCAATTTTGACTCTCTTACATGATAATATGCAATTGAGCCAAATGCATATAAAGAACCATAATCATCAACAGGTTTTCCATACCATTTTTCAAATCGTCTGTTCCCACCAATAGCTGCAGATGGTAGACGATTAATGAGGAGGCACACATCTGTTATTGCCTGTGCCCAAAATTCTTTTCCCAAGCCAGCACTGGACAACATACACCGAACTTTCTCCGGCAAAGTTCGGTTCATGCGTTCTGCCACTCCACTCTGTTGTGGTGTATTTTTCACGGTGAAATGTCTAACGATGCCATTTTCCTCACAAATTTTCTGAAAAAGATCATTTTTATATTCACCACCATTGTCTTTGCAAAAACACTTGATCTTTCTGCCATATTAAGTTTCTATCATTGCCTTTCATTTGAGAAAAAATCCCAATACTTCATCTTTTGATTTCACAGTATACACCCACAATCTTTGAGAAAAGTCATCAACAAAAGTTACAAAATAGTGCTTCCCTCCTAATGAAGGTGTTTTGGAAGCACCCTAAATACCGAATAAATGTAATCAAAATACCTTTAGTATTATGAATACCTATTCCAAATTTAACCGTTGTTTGCTTTCCCTGGATACAATGCTCACAAAACTCCAAGTTGCAATTTTTTACTCCTTTAGCAATCCTTGATCTAATAATGTTTTCAAGGATTTCCCTCCAGCATGTCCCAAGCGCATATGCCATAGCTTTGTCATTTCAGCCTCCTTCTCGTCATAGGATGTTGTTGCCGCTATCCCAATAATTGTACTACCTTGATATTGATACATGTTATTATTTCTTTGAATTGCCTTCATTACAACTAGTGCACCAGAGCATATTCTCATCATGCCATTATCTTTAATGACTTTGAACCCCTTTGATTATAGGGCTCCAACAAAAATGAGATTTTTCTTCAAATCTGGTATATATCGAACATCTGTTAATGTTCTACTTCATCCATCATGGTTCCTTAATCGGATTGAACCAACACCATATGCGGTAAGAGGAATATTATTTGCAGTGTGAATAACTCCACATTCTTCTTCTTGTAAATCAATAAAACAGTCCCGATTGGGACACATATGATAACTAAAAGCTGAATTCATCAACCATACATAAGATGATTTGGAAGGATCTGTTGTAACTAGTGAGTAATCGGAATCATCACAATCATCCACATTTGAATCCATGACAACCTTCCCATTTTTTGGTTTGGCTTTGCTATTCAACTTTGGGCAGTCTTTCTTCCAATGACCTTTTTCTCGACAAAAGGCACATCCATCTTTGCTGAGTCTCGATCTTGACTTGGATCTCCCTTTCTTCGTTCTCATATGATTTTGAGAATGACCTCTCGCAACTAGTGCTACTGCTTCTCCGCCTTTTTGTTTTTCTCTCTTTCTTTGTTCAAAATTGTATAAGGCAGAACAAACTTCTTTGAGAGATACTTCATCATTCCCATGTAGTAGAGTCGTTTCAAGATGCTCAAACTCATCGGGAAATGAACTTAACAACATTAAGTCCATATCTCCATCCGTAAAATTCACGTCCATATTTCGCAAATCTGTCGCCAACATATTAAAGCTGGAATCATTCATTGTGCTAGTGGGAACATAAGTGAAGCGTAACAGTCTTCTTTTCATGTAATGTTTATTTTGACTATTTTTATTCATGAATTCCTCCTCCAATGAATTTCATAATTTATTTGAAGATGTTTCCTTCGTGTATGGATACTTTTGTTCTCCTGCAAGGTAAGATCGAATGGTACCGCAAGCAACACGGTTGATAATCTTCCGATATTCTTCTCCTACCCCGTCTGGTTTCTTTTCTTCAATGGAAATATCTTTCCCTTATTGAAAAAGAACATCAAGGATCTCGCCTTGCCACATTCCGAAATGTCTTGACCCGTCAAAAATTTTAACTGTAAATTTTGCATTTGACACAAATCTTGTCATAAGCGAAGATGTCAATGATAACGTATTATTGACACTTAATGTGGACTCATCATTTTTCTTGTCTCCCATTTTACTACAAATACTATTTAGTAGCTAACAGTACAAATACCAAAGTAAATCTCTTTCTGATGTGGATGTTCAGACTATGTTGCAACCATAGAGCATACTCAGATAATACCTTGGCTCTGATAACAATTGTTGCGGAAGACGAATATATAGAGAGTGATGGAATCACAACTACTATATCTAAGATAATAAATAGTAAATGATACAACAACAATATTTATACCAGGAATTAACGAGGTTCGACAAACTTTTGTTTTCTTTTGCCTACTCCTCGGACACAACCAACCAATATTTACTTCACTCCAAAAGAGTACAAGTGAAATACTACAAGAGAGAAAGAAGAACAAATACCATAGGAGATGAAAAGGCAAGTTAGAGGTGTGTTTCAAATGAATTAAGACTTCCTATTTATAGGAGTGAATTCTTCCTATTGATGTCATCCATGACATCACAATATGTCAAAATGTCAACATTTACCTTGTGATATAAATTTATGGTTCACCTAAATTTCACCTACAAAAGGTGCTATCTCGACTTTTCTACCAATGAAGAATTATCCTCCTAACTACCATATGTTCTCATTAATTCATTTTTAAATCTTGTCAAATTTAACATAATGTGGATAAGTTAATAATGGGGTCCTAGCCTCATTTCATTTTTAAACATTTGTCACTTCATACAAATTCATCATATTTTTGGAGTGATGCAGAATATGAACATTAAAGTAACACAATTAATATCAATCATATTATCCACACAGTACAATTAAGAATATAAAAGAATAATCTGTTAAGGCAACATATAAGTTTTGATTATTAATAGTGCAGCGTAAAATTTAATATAAGTTGTTGTAATAATGTGTAATACTTCTGATAAGTAGTATGCAAATACTTTGATAACAAATCAATATTTGAGTTTGTATTTTCTTCAATGGTCTCTTCACTACCTTGGAATGACTATAAAATTCCTAATTTTTTTCTCCTCAAGAAGCAACTGCTGATACCTAGAAACTTGTTTGCTAGAAAAAGCAAAAAGCTCCCATTTTGCAATTTCTTACTCCAATAACTAAAAGGAATTACTACCTAATAAATAAATAAGCAAATCATGCGTATTCGACATAAAGGAAGAGAAACTCCACTGAATCCCCGTGAAATCTCCGTCAGAACTCATATTCCATAGACCAAAACAAAAGAAACTTTGAACAATTTATCCTAATTTTTTTTCCTCAAGCTATTTGTACAAAGAGAACAAAACAAAAAAATTAGATGCAATCCCAAAATAATGAAGTATCAAATAAGCATCAATTTTTGAATCAAAATTATGAACTTCAAGTTCATCCATATGCAAATATAACATACCTTATCTAGAGAAACCCACAAAGAAATCTTTAAAATATAACTCAAATTAAAAATAGGTGAAGGATGTAGATGGAAAAATATGGAAAAAATAAAAAAAATTGATCAAGGTATTTTCAATTAAACATACATAATTCGACAACAACACAAATTATCACACAAAATACAGCGGTGGCATAAGTGCTTAAAAAGAAGGTATAGTTGAAGTGCAGATGATCTGATGCAAAAATGCTTCTAGCGACGTGACACTTAGAAAAGGAAAACACGTGTTCTCCAAGAGATGATACTAATCTTAGAAGAAAGGTATTAAGTGACTAAAAATGCCCTCAAAGTTAATTTTAAAGACACTAACCACACAGGTAGATTCAAATTTTAAACTGAGTTTTCTAATATTGCAGAATAATAGCTTTAATTACATTTGACCTCAATGCCGATTGAGTAATTATGGAGTTTATTAATGTTACCCAGTGTTTTAAAAGGCCGGTGTTTTATTTAAAAGAAATATTTATTTTTTTCGATTTATTTTAGAGTCTTCATTTAATTTTTTAAAGAAAAATCAATAAACCTAGATTTTCAACATATTAAAACAATAAATCAGTTGAAAATATTAGCGGGGTTTGGAGATTCTTATTAATATTTTAGAAAGATTTTTATGGAACCTAAAATACCCGTTAATATCGTTTACCTGCAACTAACTTATTTGGCTAAAGCGTCTAACTTAATTTTAAGATAAAATTATTTAGAGTTGTTTTCAAAAATGAAGTATCAATTCTATCTAATTAAGATTTGCAACATATATTTTTAGTTTATTTAAACTTTGTTAATTTAGATAAGCTATTAAAACGAAGTGACATATTGCGGGTATTTGAAATTTCTTAACTTAAAACTAATTGCATATATCGACAAGCAAATAGATGAAAAGTAAAAGGAGAGAGAGAGAAAGAGAGTTGGGTCCAAATCCAATTTCTATTTGCCAGGACCGATGTTTGGACCCATTTTGTTTGGGTCTTTGGCCCATTTCCACCTGCCTAAGATTCTAACAGATAATAACTAAATAATTAAATGGAAGACAAGGGCTTATTCCCAATACTACAAAATAAAATAAATGTGGGCTTTAAGACCAATCTCTTCAACTTTCAATCTGGTGTTGTTTTTTGACTCCTAGACCTATACATCGGTTTCATATAGCTGGACGACTTGAGAAACAAAATATTTGATGCCTTTATGGCTCATCCGAAATGCAATGGAGAGTAAAAGATAAAGAGTCCTAGCGGACTTGGATGATATCACATGCAAAAATATGACGGTAATGATTAGCATTCAAAATAATAGAACGAATGACATCCACTGAGAAATTTAAATTAATCCGAGAATGACACCTCTAGAAGACCAAACTAGCAAACTATCGACGACAAAGTTATACAAATATATAGATATGGATGTGCATTGATTTAAGAAAAAAAAGATATCTGATTCTCAAGAATACATACCCATCGGCCAATAATAAATTCATAGCATTAAGAGACAATATGTGGCATAACTATTAGACAAAACCTCATGACAAAGTCCAAATTTGACTTCACCAATGGAACCTAATATCATAATAGGACAAAAATGATATTAGAATATAGGAGCAGCCAAAAATTTAGTAGGAAAATATTTTCACATACACACATTTTACCACGGTAAACATACTTAATCAACTTAACATTTGTAGAAGCTGGCATGATTCATCAGTAAATCTAAACAAAATGGTAAGCTAAAAAAACTAGTCGGTCATGCTTAAGAAAGATGACCTCAAACTACACAATAATGAAGATTGAGACTGGAAAGTCAGCCATTGTCTAAAACGAGGGTAAAACTACGCCAAACCAATCATGAATCCCAATACGAAACTACCTTCGTATTATCGAGGACAAGTAGGACAAAACGAACAAACCCAGGAGGGAAGGCTGGACATTAGACCATGAGATGATATGCAAGCAAATGACTGACAATGCTTAACTCAAAGACTCTCACTAACATTAAAAAAAAAAAAACACTTGATTTGTCAATTCGACTTGAGATTTAAAAAAAAAAACTCATCATATGTCCATGGTGATGAACATAGTCTAAAACAAGTAAATCCAACAATAAGCAAATAACATTGAACCTCATGACACTGAACTTACCACCTAATACTCTACTCACAATCTCCCTAGTTTCACTTTCTTTTTTTTTTTTTTTATAAAAATGAGTAACTCACTTGAGTAAAAACTTCAAATTTTAATAAACCATAATTCCTCCATCCGAAAACCAAAAAAGTTTTTCTGTCACAAAGTACATGAACAAGCAAGAAAAGAAAACTACGAATCAACAAATCACTTTACTTCATTAAATCAAAAATACATCAGACGAGTAAAAATTTAGGAGGAAAATTTACTTTCTCCGAGGCAGCAACAGCACGAGCAGAGAGGTAATGACTTTCACCACGAACACATCGAACACTCACGACTAAGGAGACGAGGTAGAAATCCAAGAAGTTCTCTATTCTAAAGTATAGTGTATAACTACCCGTTTCTAAAGCTATTCTCATGTTTCTGCTAAAAAGATTTTTTGGTCTTTTAGACCAAATAATAACCCAACTGAAAATCGTCAACTTTTCTCCTATCTTTCTATTAGAAATTCTCAACTCGAAAATCCCTTCCAATTTTCCAACTAAAAATATCCAACCCTTTTTTCCAATCTTTTTCCGGCAAGCCCCCTGAGATGAAGAAAAGAGATCTTTTATAGAGGGAATTTAGGGCTTGAAAATCAGGGAAAAACGGATCCAATTGGGGTTCAAAGCCCATCGAGAAATCATAATTTGAATTCTTTCACGATTAGAGGTATACCATATTTTTCTAAAGCGTGAATCCATTCCTAAATAGTAAAGGAGAAAGGACGAACAGATCAAATCGATTGTCCTTGGCAAGCGACATGGCTAAATTTCAAGCTTTCAAGGACAACTTCACTTGACTTGCTGCTGCAACTGTCAACAATCTACAAAATGGAGGGGAGACGCTGAGGAAGACGCCTCACGCGCTATGGCTTCTAAGGCGAGCTACTGCTGGGAATCGTGTGAAGAGACGCATGAAAGGGACGATGTAGAGGTGCGGTAAGATCGTTTTTATCATACACGTTTCTTCTAGGACTACTAGAAACGTTGGAGCCCACTTTTGGGAGATTGGGAAACTAACGCTTCTGGGTTCTCTTTTTGGGAAAAGAATGGGGATGGGTCAGGTCAATTAATGATCTTTTTGAAGATTGGTCTGGAAATTTGGTAATGGTCTGGCTCAAAGTGGGTATTAGTTGGGCTGGCAAAGGAGTTGGAATAAGCTGGGGCAATCAATGAACCAAAGAATTAATTCACGAGTTAAACTAAGGTTTAAATAAGATGAATTAACTAATGAACGAGCCCTTTTTCATTTTAACGACATAAAATAATTGACTTAGTTATAAACTTAAGATTGAAAAAAGTAACCTAATAATATAGGCAAGATCATTTTTATAAAATTATCGAGGAAAACCAAAATCATTTTGAGATGATTTTAAAATATTTATTAAATAAACTAGTTAGATATACAATTATATAAAACAAATATATTACTTAAGCTATAACAAGATAAACTAAAAATCAACTATAAACTAAGGATCAAAACTACAAGTTACTAAAACCAATTTCATAAATCGTTAAGCAAAATTAAATTATTTATAACAAAAAACATATAAAATATATAATTTCAAAATTATAAAATCGACTAAAGATACTTTAAGATGAATTGAAAAGCACTTAAACATACAAAAATATATATCACTTAAAATTTATGAAAATTGACTAAACTACTTTAACATGACTTGAATAACCATTCGAAACTTTACAAAGTCGATTATTTCAACTTTTTTAGAATTTTAAGAAACTTGTTGATTAATTCATATTATGGAGGCCCAAAATTGGGTGTCAACAACTGTCCCTCAATTTATTCGGGTTGATGCAAGAAATTCGAAGTTGACTACTCCAATTTTTACCAACCACATATTTATCTTTTAAAAAGCGGAATTTTGGCATGAATTTTGGAATTATGGCCGAACCCCGGAAACTGGTTTCCTACATATCTCAGGCTATGTGAGAATTCAGGCTACTTGTAGTTCTATGTGCTTGATTTAACACATGATTTTGAAAGAATTCAATAGTCATCTCGATATGGAATTATGAAGGAATCGTATTCTCGAGAATAAGATTTAAGAGCGAATTTTAGAATACAGTCGGATTTTCAATATTCAGCCCGCCTACATATCCTCAAACCTTAGAGATGTTTGTATTTGACTCGATCGGTGGAAAAGGAAATCTATTATGTTAGATAATCTTTGGCTCTAGACAGGTAATAAATTAAGTTGAGTATAAAAATGAGGCTGTAACCTCTTATCCATGAATATGGGGCGCTTCACACTCATAATTAAGAACTTACCGGACATAATTATCAAAGCTCTTGCATCACTCAGATTCGAAATTTGCTTATGGTAGATACCAAAATTTTTTGATGCAAAACTGAAACCGAGAAAACTAACGAAAAACCCACATGCATTCTGATAGGGGTGTGATTTAATTTTGGTGGAAGTCGCTCCTGTGCTCGCGTCCTAAGATTTTGATGTTCCTCGTTGAAATCTGTCTCAGTTCGCTGCTAAGAAAAACTTTCATGTTGTGTTGCATCCTTTTTTATGTTGTCTGCACCTGTGATTTCTTCTAGAGAATTCATCCTTCCGGATATTCTCGAGAGAGACTAAGATAAAATTCATTAGTATAAAAATGCAATTCAAGTGGGATATAGTGTCTTTTACCATGTTGAAACTTGATTTCTCTTCTTCGACATTTGACGTCAACTCCATTGGGTCGAACGCAAAGCAAACAAAGCTTAGCATGTGGATGACTTCCTAGACAACACATCAATATATTCAGCAAGCAAATGAATGTGATCCTTTCTTTAAGCTTCATTCAGGTGGACACTGATTTTGACCTCTTTAATACACTCTCCCTCTCCCACATTCTTTGTTTTAGTTTCGTCCAAATTCGTCTTATGTTGATTTTGAAACTTCCAAAAATGTCCAACAACATATACCGGTACATCATTTTCCTCATATTATTTGTCTTTGTCATCACCTGCCTCATTTTGTTCTTTCAGCTCGTAACATGAAATGAAATTAGCAGGTATTAAATTAAAATAATGAAATCATAAACAAACAATGTTAGAAATATAAAAATATGAAATAAGAAAATAAACAAATTTTCAATAAAGGGATACTTTCATTCAAATTGGAAAATAGTGCAAACTTCGGCCATTAAAAAGGGCCATGTTGCCTTTTTAAACATCACGGGGGAATTTCAAAGATTAAGTAATTAAAGAAACTATAAAATGGTGGGTCTAGGGCCTCTTCCATACTACCACCAATTTTCAAAACAGGCATAAACAATGTCCTTCTACCAAGATATTCAGGGATCAAGATTGGTGTGGAGGTTTAGTTCTGCAGCTACTCTCCAGGCTCAGCATAGCGGATACCAGCTAGCTCGATCTCGTCCTCTATGATAGCATCAATGTCTTCAAAAAGGCCCAAAATTCCTTCCCTAGGCCCATCACGATCGGCATATTCTTTGACTGGAAATGAATGGTACATATGAGGGATTGGTAGAGCCAATGCTTGGTCACCAGTCTTCTTCATCTTTGCCGCATTATCTGTGTGGACATACCCCAAACCATACCTTGATCCTTTAATGGGAACTTGAATAGGCTCGACAATTCCATGGAAATTTCTCCTAATCCAAAACCTGAACGAATCCACCCTGTAGCATCACCGTGGTAATCATCTTGAACACAGAGGGCATAAGCAGTTTATGGAGCGAAGTCATCAACGGTGGCATTAACCAGTTCCACCGTGTAGAAATCACTGCCTCGAGAGACTTCATATATGATTGGCGCATGCCCACCGGAGTTGCTTCCTTCACCGTGAATAACCAATTCTTGCTCTTTCAAGACAAGCTTCATGAACTAGTGAAGGGTAGAAGGCATGACCGCAACCATGTGGATGAACGACCTTCCCAAAAGAAGGTTGTAGCGTATCTATGTCCAGTTACTGAAACTTTTCATTAAACTCTGCATGAATCATCTAAATGACCAAGTGTACCACCCTAGTGTGTCTTTCTACACCCAATAGAAGGCTCTTATGTTGACTTGGTTTCGTTTAAGCTTCCCCAAATCAAACCTTAACTCCCTCAGAGTCGACAACAGGCAAATATTGTGACCAGATCCACTATCTATCAGGACACGGTTTATGACCTTTCTCGACATAAATAGTGATATGCAAAACTTTGTTGTGCATCCTCCCTTCGAAGGGCAACTCGTTATCACAGAAGCTAATCTGATGTCCTTGGATAACCTTGTTGATCATTGCCGTTAAATTGTCATTGTTGGGGCCTACGGGCACATATTTATCATCCAAAGCCTTCATCAGGGCTTGCCTATGTATATGCGAACTCATCAAGAGGGCGCACACATAAATTTGAGCCGGGGTTTTCTCCACATGCTTAACAGTCTAGTAGTCCTTCTATGCATCTTTCTCCAGAATTCTTCAGCTTCACCTTTGCTTATCGGCCTCTTTCCTTAGTCCTTCTTTTTCCCTTCATTGACAACCTCTTCTGGAGTATAACATCTGCAAGACCTGGTCATAACATGAGCTGAAGAGGTTTCAATCACAAACCATGTCCTAGAAAAAGTTTCTAATGGCACCAAGGCAACGACCATTGCGGGTGTCATAATCACAAACTCTTTCTTTTCTCTGACGCTCAAAGAAGCCACGACCCTTTCCAACTCAACAGAATGAATGGGAACTATCACCTTCATCACGGCCCAATTGTCATCCCTCTCTATCATATTGATATTGACACCCCCATGATTTGGAAGATTACTTTAGTTGTTGGAAGATTACACCAAACGCTCGTACAACTTTGTTCGTCTTTAAGCAAGCGCAATACAAATTTTGGGGGGCTTATTCTCAAATCTAGGACGATGGGGATCATAGTTTCCTTGAGGAGAAGGCATTTGACAATAACTTTGGACATTAGGAGAGGGAGCTTGATATCTAGATTAGGCATTTGTCTAGTAATTATTTAATGGAGTTTGGTAGTTTGCGGAGGCATTTGGATAAACTAGAGCTTGGGCTTGATATATGATACGCTCAAACTTACTTCTCAAATAAGAGGTAAAGCGTTCGCATCAAGTAAAGAACCCAACTAATGAGGTTGGGATCGTTCCCACGAGGAAAATAGTTCAGACTTAACTTTAATCCACTATTACTATTGTTTAGTCAATTATCTCCATAGAAAACAGTAGACAAAAAAAGGGGGGGTTTATTTTTAAATAAATGAAAGTAACTAACTAAAGTAAACAACTAACATATTCAAATATTGGAGTTTAATCAATCAATAAAGTAACTAGGGTTTAAGTGTTCCCCTCAGGTTCCTAACTTGATAATTCTATCTATAACAATTCTTTCCTAGTATCTTGCATGCAAAGTGATAAGTTATGTATTTCTAAATCCTTGGTCCGGCATCTAGAAAATTGAACTCCGCACCTTGGTCCGGCTACATGTGTTGCTATACTAACCCTTACCTTTACCTCATATTAAGCATTTTATTCGATATTTGACTAAGGTATTACCTCGTACCAATCAATACTAGCCTATTAGATAGTATACACTAAATCTATGTTGATAATTATTTTACTATTACCTACCTCCTTGGTCCGGCATGTGTCATTAAGGAGAGTTCTAACGTTGGTCATCCGTCAAAAAGACTTCTAAGCAAAAGAATTATCAATACATGCAAGACACTATTCTAGAATTTTTATTTTAGTTAGATTTTACCTCATTATTCACCCATGGTTCCCACAACCCTAGTTATGGAGTTTAGTTACCCATAGTCATAATCACAATATTCATATATCTAATTATAAGAATTCATGCACTTACTTCAATGAGCAAGAATAAAATCCAGAAGTTCACTTGATTATTCAACAAACACACCAACAATCAATCCAGATACAGTGTATCAAGTACTAAATTAATCGCAGACTAAAGATTCTCCAAAATTATAAAAATCACAAATACTAACAAAGAGTCTAACATAAGAGAATCTAACTAACAAAGAGTCTAACCCCAAAAACAAGGTTTTTCCAACTATTTATAGAAAACCAAAAACCTAATAAAAGAAGGACTTTAATTGCTGAAAATCTGCCAAAACGCGTCCAAATCGACGAACCTCGTGATGGTCCATCGTGGTCACGATGGTATGGGCCATCGTGGCCATCA